ATCTCCACCTCCCCCTCTTCCATACCCCCCCACCCAAACCATCGGTCCCGTTGCTGTCTCCTTGGGATTGCTTATCCTGCCTATCTTATATAGATAGACAGCAAAAGAAAAAGAAAGAAAAAAACCTGTTTCCTGACCCAGAGTAGGTGAGTATCTCTCTGTTAAATAGCAAGCAGGTTTTACCTCGAAATCTTTGATCCACGTTGAATTTTTCCTTGTGTATGAGATGAGGTGTAAGAGTCTTGTTTCATTCTTCTCCAGGTTGATATCCAGTTTTTCCAGCTCTATTTGTTAAAAGGGGCATCTGCTTCCCGTTTGATAATTTTTTGGCTTTTATCAAAGATCAGTAGTCTATATGCTACTGTGTGTATTTCTGGTTTTCTGTTCTTATCTATTGGTCTGAGTCTCTATCATTATACCAGTACCATGCTGTGTGACAACTGTGGCAGTGTGATAAGTTTTAGTCAGGTAATGTAAGCCTGCCCACTTTCTTCTTCTTGGGGAACCTGCCAATTCTGGGCTTCTTCCCTTTCTATAAGAAGTTGGTAGTCAGTTTTTCTTTGAAAAATTATGCAGGTATTAGTATGGTGATTGCATTGAACCCAGATAGTGCCTTACATAGGATGGACATCTGTACAATATTGAGTCTACTGAACCATGAGCATGGACTCTTTTTCCATTTGTGAAAGTCCCTTTTGGTTTCTTGTAATAATTTTCTCTAGTTTTCTTCATACAGATATTTTGGGTTGTTTTTTTTTTGTCAGGTATATCCCTAGATATTTCCATTTATGCTTGGCTATTGTGAAGGGTCATACTTCTTAATCTCGTTTGCTGTAATCCTATCAGTTGTATATAGCAATCCAATTTACTTCTGCTTGCTGATCTTGCATACTGACACTCTACCATACTCCTCTTCCAGCACACCTGTTGTGGAGCATTGGGGTTCTCAGTAGATCCGCAAGTAACAATAGTTTCACTTCTTCTTTCACCAAGCGTATTCCTTTGATATCCTTCCAATGCTGAATAAAAGTGGGGACAAGAGGCATCCTTGTCTGGGTCCCTTTGCAGTGAGAATGTTTTTGTCTTTTCTCCATTGATTGCAACACTGGCTGTTGGATTTTCATATATAGCTTTAATTATATTGAAGTAATTTCCTTCCAGTCCTATCTTCTTGAGAGTCTTAATTAGAAATGGGTGTTGAATGTTGTCAAATGCTTCTTCTGCGTTTACTGATATTATCATGTGGTTCTTTCTTGTCCTTTTTCTTCTCAGTGGGATGGATAATGTTGATAGATTTTCTAAGGTTGAGTCATCCCTGTGTGTCTGGCATGAATCCCACTTTGTCATGACGAATTATTCTTTTCATATACTTTTGTATTCTATTGGCCAACATTTGGTTAAGGATTTTTACATCTATATTCATTAGAGATATTGGCCTGTAGTTTTCTATTTTTGTTGGGTCCTTGCCCAGTTTTGGTATCAGTGTTATATTAACGTACAGAGTATGTTTGGGAGCTTACCGTCCTTTTCTGTGTTCTGTACTACACAAGAGTTTGTGTAGCGTTGGTGTCAGCTCTTTCCTGAATGCTTGGTAGAATGCTCCGTGAAGCCATCTGGGCCGTGGCTTTTTTCAGTTGGTATTTCCTTAATAACCTTATCTATATCTTCTTTTGCTATGGGTCTGTCCAAGTTCTTGATATATATAGGAGGTAATCTTGGGAGGGTTTGTTTTTCTAGGTAGTTGTCCATATTTTCCAGGTTGTTGTATTTATTCCTTGGAGTACAGTCCTTTGTAGTACTGTGTAATTAGTCTTTTAATTTAATTAGGGTCCAGTGTAATTTCCCCTGCTTCATCCCTCAACCTGGATATTGAAATGTACTCCTTCCTTTCTTTTGTTAGGTTTGCCAACAGTTTGTTGATTCTGTTAATCCTTTTGAATAACCAGCTTTTTACTGAGTTTATTTTCTCCATTTTTCCCCCCCATTTATCTCAGCCTTGATTTTTATAATTTCTTTTCTCTTCATATTAGAATGATTATTCTTTTGACTCTTCCAACTGCTGGAGGTTTTGTGATGGGTATCCACCATAAGTCTCTCTTCCTTCATCATATATGCATTTATTGCTATCAAGCACCCTCTGAAAACTGTCTTTGCTGTATCCCATAGATTTTTGTACGTTGTATTCTCACTCTCAATGGTTTCTAGAAACTTCTTAATTTTGTCTCTAATTTGGGCCAATACGCACTCCTTTTGAAGAAGTAAGTTATTCATTTTCCAAGTATTTGCCCTTGTTCTCTTGATCTTTCTTTTGTTGATATCCAGCTTTATGGCATAGTGGTCAGAGAAAGGAGTCTGAGTGACCTCCATATGTTTGAATTTGCTCATACTTGACCTTTGTCCCAGCATGTGGTCTATTTTAAAATACCTGCCATGTGCACTTGAAAAGAATGTAAATTTTTTTTTGCAGTTGTGTGGAGCACTATGAATATGTTTATCAAGTTGAGATATCTAATTGTAGAATTTAGTTCTGTAGCCTCCTTGTTGAACTTCATTCCCGCTGATCTATCTTTTGCAGTATTGAGAAATCTTTCTTTCTCAGACTTTACTGTATTGAAGTCTCCTACTGTGATTGTCAGTCCTGCGATTTCTTTTTTCATCTTTTGAAAGATTTGATTAATGTATTTCTCAAGTCTCTTGTTTGGCGCATGTATGTTTATTATGCTCTCTGGGTCTTGGTCTGCTGATCTCTTAAACATTTTATAATGTCGATACTTTTCTCTTATTATGTCATCCTCCTTGAAATCAATTTTGTCAGAGATTAGAATTGCAAGTCCTGCTTTTTTTAGATTGCCATTAGATTGATACACTTCCCCAAAACCTTTGATACTCAACCTGTTTTTGTCTCTGAGCTTGAGATGTGTCTCTTGCAGACAACAGATTGCTGGGTTTTGTTTTCTAATCCAGTCTGCTAGCCTCTGCCTTTTGATGGAAGAATTCAGACCATTGACATTCAGAGTTACTACATCCATCTGTGGATTCTTTGCTGTCATCTGGTACCTTTTATATCAACATTTTCCTCCCTCCCTCCTGAGCAATGTGTTAGGGGTGTGTGTGTGTTCATTATACTATGCAGTGGTCTCATGTTTGTGCTTGCTGGATGTTGGTCTTTTGACCAAAGTGAGTTGAAGAGTAATTTTTGTAGTGCTGAGTTTTGGGTTGTTTTTTTTTTAATCTAAATTTTTCCTGATATGGGAAAACCCTTATCTCTCCGTCTATTTTGATGTAGAGTTTAGCAGAATAGAGGATTTTAAGGTTACCATTATTCTCCTTCAACTTTTGGAAGCTGCTACTCCATTCTTTCCTTTTCTGTGTGGTTTCTGCTGATAACTCTGAGCATATTTTTAATCTGATTTCCCCTGTAGGTAACTGCATTTTTTTCTCCATCTGCTCTTAAGATATTCTCCTTTTCCTCAAAGTTGGATAATTTCACTCTATGCTTTGCTGTATTCTTCTTGGTGTTCAGTCTAATTGGTGTCCTCTCTGCCTCCTGGGTGATTGTCTGATTCTCCATTAAACTGGGAAAGTTTTCTTCCAGGGATTCCCCCATTATCTTGGCTGTTGATTTTTTTGGGTTAAATTTTGCTCTGGTATCCCAATTATACGAATATTGTTTTTCTTCACAGCATCGCTTTTGTTCTCTGGTTTTCTGTAGCTTCTTTGATTATCTTCTTAGATAATCACGTTTCACGTTTGTTGAATTCTGCGTGGCTAGCTTTGAGGTCACTGATAACAATTCTACACCTCTTCCAGCCTGGTGGTAAGGTCTTTCACCATTTGCTTTGCTTCTGCTGTGTTTTCCCTTAACTCTTGTATTTCCCTTTGGTATGTATACTCTATCCTCCCTATTTTTTCATCTTTTTCTGTATTTATTCCCTCATATTCTGTGTGACTCTGAGAAGCATACTGAAGTTTACTTTGTGTTTTGTTTCTTTGCTTTCTTGTAGTGGCTGTTGCTGTGGGTTGTTGCCTGTGTGGTGTTTTGGTGGATCCTA